CCACACTTAGAGGGTAGGGTCTCCTCCTTAAGCCTGCCGGGCTGCAGGGCATTAACACACTTCCGCCTGCAGCTATGAGACAGGGAGAGAAGAACCAAGCTTTGGTTTAGGGACCACTTTTGATTATGTATTGATTTCCTGTGGGTGCTGTCAACAGGAATGTACTTGCTCAGTCCTGAGGTTACAGGCAGGGCTGTGTCCCCCTCTGAGGCTAGCTCTGGGGGAGATTCTATGCTGTGTTCTCTCAGCTGACTGCGAGCAATCCTTCAGTTTGGGCTGTATTACTCCAACCTTGGTCCCTGGTTACACCGCCTCCTCTTCTTCCATGTCTTCTATAAGTTCCTGTCTTTCCCTCGTAAGGGCATCTGTCACTGGATTTTGAGGCAACCTGGACACCACTGTAACCGATTCCAAACCGGGGAGAGAGCAGGGTTTAGAGGCGGTAACAGGGCACTCCACCTGCAGCAATCTCATTGGGGTTTCTTCTGTTCGATATCAAGCCTAACCAAAGAGCTCTCTTGTCTGAATACCCATGCCTAACTCGTTTACACTAACCCAGTGCCATAAAGGACAGCACTGTCCCTCACCTGACAGGGAGAGACGATGTGGCAAAACACAAGGCAGAACAAAACCCAGGACCTTTCCCTACAACACAGTAACCCTGCAATAATGAGCGCCAAATCTCTATCTGGCTTCAAAAGACAGGTTAAAAAAAACTATCAAGATGACAATAAAAAAGACAAAGAATCTCTGCAGAAAGGAACATGCCATCCAAATTATTCTTAGAGCTACATTCTACTGTGAAAAATCAAAGAATGTAAAGTCGCCTACTAATCATGTTGAAATGATATTTCGGGTGTACTGGACTAAATAAAATTTATTACAAAAATTAGTTTCACTTTATTTCTTCTATTTTCTTAATATGACACTGGAAAATCTTAAATTACAATGTGGCTCACGCTGTATTTCTACTGAAATAGCTGTTTTGGGCTTGGAATGTAGCTCAGTCGGTAGGGTGCTCGCTTAGCATGCACAAGGCTCAGAGTCTGATCCCCAGCACAACGTAAGCATGGTTTATAATACCAGTTTATAATACTTAGGAGAAAGAGAAGGATCAGGAATTCAAGTCAGCCTGGGATATATGCAACCAGAGAGCAGAGAACGGAGAGGGGTAGTCTTAGTAAATACTTATTCATGGGAGCACTTAGTAAATACTTATTCAATACTAAAGTTATTCATTGCACACTGTACCAAGTGCTAACACCTTCAGCATGAGAAAAAAAACAAACCCTGCCACCACAGAGCTCACATCACCTACCGCCCATTTCTGTGTGTGATCATGCATAAAAATAATGACGACTGCAACCTTCTGAGGTACAAATGACAAGGTTTGATTTAGGAATCATCAAGCATAAATCTGTAATTCCAGACTAAAGACAATTTGTCTTCTGATATATGATTCTCACGCAGAAACTGTATTTTTGTTTCAGAGACAGGGTCTCACTATGTAGCTCTGGCTGGTCTAGAACTCAGAGTCTTACCTACCTCTGCCTCCTGCTAACGCTATCTGTTTCCCAATAGCCTCCCCTGGCTTTTGGTCCTCTTTGTCTAACTAGTTTGCTCTCCGTGACTCAGCTTGAGAAGTTTAAGTGGCAACATGCTAGCACTCACAGTACAGGAGCCGTTTCCCCTCTGAGGGTCTCTAGAGTGGGGCGGAATAAAATGTTAGGGTACATACTCTTAAGAAGACAACTCCAGCTTTGTGGGTTAAAGATACAGTTCTCAGGTTTCTTTGGGGCTTAAATAACAAAGAGAATTCTGGACAAAGCTGTGCTTCAAAATCCAATGCACAAAGTTTTCTTTTAAGTTACAACAGCTAACTAGTTCTCTCCTATTGAGACCTTCACACAGCAAAACCTTTCCAAATAGGACTTCTAAAACCAATCAACAGGGCTGGAGAGATGGCTCAGCAGTTAAGAACATTGGCTGCTCTTCTAAGGGATCTGGGTTTGATTCCCAGGACCCACATGGCAACTCATAGGCATCTGTGGTCTCTGTGGCCTCTCAAGAGCGCCAGGTATGCACATGGTATATAGACATATATGTAGCCAAAACAAACATACTCATCAAACGAAATGTTTAAAAATTTAAAAAAATCAAATCAACAATGAGTAACTATCTTGTAAATTACTTTTAAAATGCTACCTGGGAATGACAGTGAGTTTGTAATCCAAGCACTTGGGAGGTGAGAGGGTCAGGAAAGAGTTCAAGGTCATCCCCAGCTGCACTATAGATTCCTTTGAGACTAGCCTGGGCTATACAAGCCTGTGACTCAAAAATCCAGGAAACAAAATAAAATACTAGATAACATCAAGAGAACAAGACCAGTTTTAAGGTGGTAGAATAGCTTCCAAATTAATGTTAAAAATAAAAAACCACTGGGCTGGAGAGAGAGCTCAGAGCTAGAGTTACAGACGGCCTGGGTTCAGTTTCCAACACAAACATAAAGCTGGTTTCAGGGGATCTGGCTCTCTTCTGACTGCTTCAGCTCTGCACTCAAATGGTGCACATACATGTACTCAGGCACACACACACACACACATACATAAAATAAGTATTAAAAAGTATTCAGGATCTGGAGAGAGAGCTCAGTTAACACTGGCTGCTCTTCCAGAGGACCTGGGTTTGATTTCCTACACCCACATAGTAACTAATAAACACGAAAGACTCCAGGTCCACGGGACTCTGGCGCCCTCTTCTGGCCTCCACAGGAACTGCATGCAGGTCCAAACACTCACATAAAACTACAACACAGTAATTCTTCAGCTACTACTAATAACAATGAAAGCAATTTGGTAATCTCCCTCCCCCAGGCAGGGTCTCCCTGTGGAGCCCTGGCTGTCCTGGAACTGGCTCTGTAGAGCAGGCTGGCCTGGAATGCAGAGAGATCCAGAGTTCTGGGATTAAAGGCGTGCGCCACCACTGTCCAGCCCAGTAATATTTTTTTTTTTTATATTTAAAAGTGTTTTTTTCCACTCTTTTATGCTAAGTATCACCTATGACAACTACAGAGAAACAACAAAATATCCAAGTTTTAAGCTCCTAAGATTATTGCAATGCCTTTCTTGGTTGAAGTCTACCACCATTTGAAATACAAATGTGTTAGACAATATTTTCCTTCACTCTTTGGCTGCATAGGTATGCTTACTCACAAGCTGTTTCAACATTACACATCTTCTGTCAGTTAACAAAGAATTAGAAGTGACTTAAAAAACAAGAGAGAAAAACTATTCTTAGTTGTAGTGGGGAAATCTGTCTAGGTGTGGAAAATTCAGTTATTCTCCATAGGTAATTGCTGTGTGGTGTTTTACTCTTTTGGCTCTTTAGGCTCTTTGGGGGGGGTCCACCACCCAGCTCCCAAATAAATCACACACGGAGTCTTTTGTTACTTATAGAAGTGTCCGGCCACAGCTTGGCTTGTTTCTTAATTATCCCATCTCGCTTCAGCCTCCGGGCCTTCCTTTATCTCTCTCTATCCTGTATACCTTTCCTTTCCGTCTCACTGTGTGTGGCTGGGTTGACTGAACCCCTCATTTCTCCTCCTCCCTGTTCTATCTTGCTCCTCCTCTCCCTCTCTCATTTCTCCTTCTCTTTATCCTCTCTGCCTGCCAGCCCCACCTATTCCTCTCCCCTGCCTGGCTATTGGCCATTCATCCCTTTATTAGACCATCAGGTGTTTTAGACAGGAAAAGTAACACAGCTTCACAGAGTTAAACAAATGCAACATAAACAAAAGCAACACATCTTTACATCATTAAACCAACGTTCCACAGCATAAACAAATGTAACACACCTTAAAATAATATTCTACCACAGGCAACCTAACTAACACTTGCTAAACAGGAGTCAGGCAAAAGGCTTCAGCCAGTGTGTTCCCTACACGAGCACAGGTCCTGCTTTGTTCTGAAGAACCAGCTGGACAAACAGAATGCAATCAAACAGTAACTTAGAAATCAACTTCACTTTGGCTGTTAGCCCAGGATGCTCAAGGTTTTAAGCGAAACCTCAACAATGAAAATCAATAGCAGAGCACACACTTCGTAAGCACAGGCCTGTATTGACAATGTCACCTACAGCACCCGGGAGGACAAGCAACACTCTCTAAAACTCTCTCTCTTTCCCGAGTAGAGAAGATACAAATGGATGCATGACTCTGATGTAAAAGCACCCAAGTTTATCACCACCTTACCCTCCCCCTGTGCCAAGCTCTTGACTAGGGATGTCTTCAAGTTATCACAAATACTTTGCCTTCTTAGAAACTTCAGGAAACTGTATGTCTCAGTCTTGAGTACCTTGTCGATGGTAACTGTTGATACTGGCGTTGTTTGCCACGGGGTCTAGCTACATTGCTCAGGGTAGCTTCTCACAACTTTCCCACCAGAGAGGACCTGTGTACCAAGTGGTGAGAGCTGACCAGAAACCAAAGCATCTCTGTGCTATTAGCTGAGAGTTTAGGAAAAACCAGGGCTTTCCATGCAAATATACAAGATCCTTTCCACATACAGGAGAGAAGAAAGAAGACAGAGGGGGTGGGGGGTGGGGCCCTCGCCTCCAGACTAGCCTCACACACAAAGGTCTGACTAAAATTATACATACACACAAATATCCCATCAAAGAGCAATGGTAACTCCCGGCTGAGCAAGGAGCACAGGACTTTAAACCTGAGGAGCATGGACCTGACTTACTCAGTCCATGGTTAGCATGGTCTACACGGCAAGTTCCAGGCCAACCAGGCTACACAGTGAAACCTGTCTCGGTAAGAGCGACGACTCCCACATACATTATTACACCAACGAGGGCACAAACACCAAACACCGTTTTGCCTGCCTGTGTTCAAACACGGCCAGTCCACTTACTTCCTACCCGGTGCTTCAGTGTCTTTACAACACTTCAGTAGGAAATAACGTAGTACCCTTTGCCAGATTAAAAAAAAAAAGTACCAGGAATTCAACAAATTTCCACAAATGTTCCAAGATGGATTCCAACGCTTGCCGGACAACAGCCCAACGAACAGCTCTTTATATTAATCCTGATAACCAGCTGAGGCATTTCCAAGACGAGACATTTCAGGAAGCTATTTTAGTGAGGGACAGGCTGTGTTTTCAACTTCCAAAATAATACTGCAACTTAAAAAAAAAAAAAAAACACAAAATTAACCTTGCTGGGGGGTTCTGGAACCCTGAGATGATATTCTTTTTTCTTTCTCAGAAAGACACCTTGCAATGGCATTAAAATTCTTGTCCGTGGTCACAGGAAATTTAACCTTATAAGCACTGTATACATACAGTATTTTTTTTTTTTTAAAGAGCACTAAAAGGGGAAGGGGCCGTTTTTTGTTTTTGCACCAAGACTTCCCCCAACAAACCCTTTCCCAAGAAACTGCATGTACCGAGCAAAGCACATTTGAAAAGAGCAGGTCATCGTCATTCTCTAAATATTTACATTTGAATTCGATACAGACAGCTCCATGTTACAGAAGCTTTAAAAAAAGAAGCAGGCGAACACAGAAACGACTTCAATT